CTGCGTGGCTCAGTGGGTTAAGTGTCCACCTTTTGATTTCGCCTCAGGTGGTTCATGGTATCAAGCTCCGAATCAGGCTCTGAGCTGACAGCTGGAGCCTGTTTGGGATTCTCTCTCCCTCCCCCTCTGTCTCTTCCCTGCTCATTCTCTCTCTCTCTCTCTTTCTCTCTCTCTACAACAACAACAAAACCCCAACCAAACAAAACCAGTGGATGGCACATAAACAGTCAACAGGTATTAGTGATTATTAACAATTATTACTCATCTGGAAAAGTTTTGTTATTAAAATTAACTGCTTCCTTTGGGAGGAGTTAGATTTTTATTGTGGATTTATTGTGATACAGGGTAGACATCTTTATTTTATTTCTTGCAGGTATCTGTCAAAGAAGCAAGGACAGTAGTTACCAGTTACATGAGCAGTTACCGAGGATACTTGAGATCACGAACTTCTTGCTTTTCTGCTAGAAATCATTATGATAGTGCTGGACACTGCAGCGAATATCAGACTGCTTATACTTGGTCTTCCAGTTTTTTTGTAAATTTAATTTTATATTTTTTGAAGATCATAGCAATACGCTTAAAAAATCCTTTTCCCCCTATATGAATATACTGTTACTCTTGAAAAATATTTTCTCCAGCATTGAGTACTGAGTTTTTTTCCCCACACACACAAAAAAGTGAACAAAAATATATACTCAACAGTGTCATTTTGTGGCTTTGGAAACAAGTTATGTTTTGCGTTTTGTCTCATTGTGCTGTTGTCTAACTAAATCTGAGGCCAAACCCATGTTGAAGCTACTGCTTTTCCCTTTAAAACCAAAAAAAAAAAAAAAAAAAAAAAAAAAAAAAAGTTTTTGCGTAAGGAACCTAGTTTGGTATGCTTAAAATCACTGAGAGTTTTTTTTTATTCCTTTGTTGTAGACACAATTTCTCTTCTTACTGTGCACTATTTACATCTCTACACTTTGATCTGTCTCAGTTTGGTCTATATGTATGTCTGTGTTCTTTGAGTAAAACTGGAAAACATCAGCTGTGATACAAGTATGTCTCATACTATGAGAAATAGAAAACATAAGACTGAAGAATAAAACTAAGGAACAAAAGTGTCTTTTTGGTGGCTAAGTAGAAGCACTTCTGCCTAAAACCATTGTCATAAAAGCAATTAAAGGCAATACATTTTTAAGTGGGACATATCACTGGGGTTCAGCCCTAAAAAGCATGAACAAAAAGTTTTTGTTCTGTTCCAGCTGTATATTGTCAAATGCAAACACTGTTTCAGTGAAAATATTTAGCCATAAGATTAAAAAAAAAATTATTTGCAATGCCTAAGCCCGCAGATATGTAATGTGACCACTGTTTGTGTTGACAGTATTGCTTTATACAGATCTTGTATTTGAAAGGAATCCGGTCCTTTCAAATAAACATGGTGTATATTGTTCTTACGGGACTATTTCAGTGGTGTAAATAATAAATACTTTTTCTTAAAACATTGGTTTTGGTCTGTACTACCCCAAATATTTTGCCTCTTTGTGGAATCACAAAACAAAACAAACATTAGGTTCAGGCAACGGCCTCTTGAAAAACACTAAACATGTATGGTTTAAAAGTGTGTATATCACTATTCATGCATTCAGAATTGGTTTTAGCAGCTAATGAGATATGTTAAATCACTTAATTCTACAAAGTACCTTGTTTTCAGGAAGATAAGCTGTTTTCTTTGTGACAGGTTATTATAAAGATACATAGTGTGGAAGTGTTAGAGAACTCTTAAATAATTAAAATGATTCAATTAAAAACATCTTTCTAAATTGTGAGGCTAAATTTAAATAAGGATGGAGTAGCAGTTTTTGGAATATTCATTTCACTGGGGCATTTTCCCCTTGTAAGAGGTGGTTTATTGTTCCAAAATAGGCATGGAAAGGGCTTAATCTTTTTAAGAAAACTGAACACTTAAAACTGTTTAGTTCAATAAAGAAGAGACATTTTCTGAATCAATATAAAATACAAAAATGAGCAAGCCTCAGAAAGCAAAGTAGGATTTTTAAGAAACGTTTTCTGCCGTTAGGTGGTGCCCAAACCAAAGTTTATTAGCCAGTATGCTAAATTTAGCAATTCTGGGAGAACATTGTTCCTGTCAGCTTATTGAGATCACATGTTTGTGTGATTAATACATTCATAGAATATTAGACTTTTACTTTGTCTTCTGCATCTCATGTCTTCTTGAACAGATTTCTCTCTCGATCTCCACGTATGTGGCTCACACAACAGAACCAGGAGATGACTTAATTCAGATACATATGCTGATGAAATAGCAAGTTAGTTTTATGATAGAGCTGTTCCAAACTTTGAAGCAATTGATTCTTGATAAAATATATTTAATCTAAAAACTGCAGAACATCATTAAACCTTTGATTCAAAGAGAGCACTTTGAGATCTAGTAGCCCCTCAGGTCCTGCATGAAGATGACTTATTGGACTAATGATACCTATAGGAGTTACTTTTAATGGCAAAGAATAAATGGGTCATTACAGTGGGCAACTGAGATGTGCTTTATTCACAGAAAGTAAAATAATTGTCAGTTTTGTGGAGGAGGTGGAGCTGTGCAGGGAGAGGGACTGGGAAAGAATGATATGGGAAAAATAAGAAAATGCAAATTACTTAGAGTATAGTTTGATTTCTAAATGACAGTTGGTTGCCAAGAATAATAATAAAACGTGAATAGTGAATAAACTGGTTGAGGGTTTTTCTCATTCCAAGTAACAGAACTTTCAAGAAAGAATTGTTACAGTTTCTCCTAAGGTATTTATACGTCAAAATTTATTCTTACTAACTAGAATAGCAGCTCAAGAGGTGTCTCTAGGGATTAAACACTTAGATATTTATGTAAGGATATACTAGTTTTTGGAATTGCTTTGGAGAAGCTGTGTCAGTTTTGATGGGAATGCTAAGTAGTTACAGCTTAAGGAAAAATCCTTGAAGATTAGCTTGACAGATTTATCAAAGACTTATGAGAAATTAATGCATGATAAGAACTAGAACAGAAATATCAGACATCCTGTGGGTTTAAAAAAGGCCATCAATTACCTAATGTCAATGAGGTTCCATGTAGAATATAAAATCTTACAAATCTCTTGACACTAAAGATTTTTTAAAAACTCTGAAAGTAAGCAAGCACTTCTTAAATGCTGCTAAAAAGTTATTTCCTGATATAAAGCATTATTTGTTAAAACCTGATTTCCTCATGAAAAGCTTTAAAAGTTCAACCTATGGTTTATAAAACCATGTATAAACAGTGGCAATAATCATTAAAAATATAAAAGCCAGATTGCTTAAGCATTAGTGATATTTCCATTAGTCAATAGGGCTACAACAAACAAGTTAGATTGTGTATGTGTGCACTTTGTGATACTAGAGGCCAAACTGGTGACTTTTCAGGAACACACAGATTATTAAAATGAAGTAAACCATTGAATACAAATCTCTCTTAATCCTATTACAAGCTATTAATTCCTTGCAGCATTTTTGATCCCTATCACTTTTTGTTGCTTAATATGTAGGAACAGTTATGGTTTCCCAAATGAGGCCTTAGGGAAAAAAGGCAAGAGATTTGTCAGAATAACACTTGGCTAGAATCCCTCCTTACTAACAGTGAGACCTTGCTCAAGTCTTAACTCTTTGAACTTGGGTTTCCTCCTCAAAAAAGTACTAATAATAACACTTCTCTTTCCCATAGTCCATTGCAAAGGTCACATGAGACAATTCATGTGGAAGTTCTTTGAAGCAACTAAAGCTATGTAAATGTTAGATGTTACTAAAAGTGGTTCAGAGGGTGTGGCTCTGATTGAGCTGTATCATTCTTGAAATTATAATTAGAGTGTAGAATTAAAAGGAAAACTTTCTGTAATTGCGCATATGTTTTACAAATATCACCTTGGTTTTCTCAGAGTTCTAAACAGTCAAGGAAAGTAGAATGAGGACGTACTTCTTACGGTCTAGGTGTTTTTGTAAGTACCCAGCTGCTTTTAGTAATCGTCCAGACTGAAAGATCTGCCGACTCCACTCCTAACCCCCCAAAGTACATATGTTTAAAACTTTAGCAGCATTATAACATATCTTTATATAGTGGAATATTAACATTATTTTAATCTTTTAACTTTGGAAATGCTATTCCCAGACAGAAGCTAGCTAGTTTTGCTATGCATGTAAAAAAATTAAAAATTACTCCAAAGCAATGAGAATTTTTTCTTTATTGCAGTTATAAAGATATACTAAGGTAGATACTAATTTTTCCCTGGCAGGCTTGGCAGAATAAACTGTCTATGCGGGAAACAGTCAGTCAACATCTAATGTACATTTGTTAGTACCTACTATGTGTCTCAGGCATTGTTCTTCAGAGGTAAACACAAGAAGAGTCTCTCCCCTCACAGAATTTATGTTTGAGTAAAGGAAACAATAAAGAAAAAAAACAATATGATAATTTTCAAAGAGTAAGAAGTGCGATGAAAACCTAGTATGATGAAAAGTGGAATTGAACGGTGGTGGTTGGCAATAGCATGGGCCAGAGTGGGAAGACCTGAATAAGAGGCATCACTCAGAATATTATGGAGAAGAGCAGTGTGGGCAGAGCTAGAAGCATGTGCAAGACCTGAAGGCAGGAACAAGATAGGCAGGCTCAGGGATTAGTGGCAGGGAAGTGGTAGCTGGTGGGAAATGAGGATGGAGAGTAGGCAGAGTCCATGGGATAGGATTTTGCAAGTCACAGTAAGTAGTCTGGTGAATTCTAAGTGAAATGGGGGAGCCAGTGGAGGATTTTGAGTAGGGGAATGATAATTTTTTCATAGCCTTATTGAGATAAAATTTACAAACTCTAAAATTCACCCATTTGAAGTGTGCATTTCAATGGTTTTAGTATATTTACAGAATTGTTCAGCCATCACCATGATCGAATTTTAGAATCTTATTTGTTTTTAAAAAGATCATTCTGGCTCTGGTGTGGAGAATGGGTTATAGAGGGGGCGAAAGTAGAAAGGAGGAGATCAGTGAGGAGGTTCCTGTTATTATTCCAGATGGGAGGTTTCGAAAGTGACCAAGGGAAAGTTTGCACTCCTTCACTCCTTCACTACATCACTTCTGAACTGCCTATTGAGGGGCACCTGGGTGGCTCATTTGGTTAAGTGTCCAACTCTTGGTTTCCACTCAGGTCATGAACGATTTGTGATTCAAGTCCCACATCGGGCTCTGCTGTGATAGCACAGACCCTGCTTGGGATTCTCTCCCTCTCTCTCTGCCCCTCCCCTGCTCACTCTCTCTCTCAAAATAAATAAATAAAAACTAAAAACATAAATAAATAAATGCTTGAATTACCTATCAAGCCCCTGTGATGTGCTAGGTACTATTTGAGGTGCCAGGTCTCCAGTGGGGAGTAAGGCAGATGTGATCCCTGCTCTGGAGAAGCAGCTGTGGGACTGAGTGTGGCAAACTCAGCCCTCTGGGGTTCACCCATTGCTAAGGTATTTAATTTGAAGAATAGAGAACTCAACATATGAAAGTCAACATATAAAGAACCCTTCTCACTCCGCCTACACCCACAGTGAAAAAGCCGTCTGGGATTCCAGCTGGCATTGCTGTCCAGAGGCTGGACACGTGGTGAAGTGTCCAGCATGAGCATGCATGGCCTGTGACAGTGTGGAGGGGAGCAGTCAGGGAGAAAGATCAAAGACCCCTCTCCTTTTCTCTGGGGGGTGTTGTAGGGAGTGTAGAACATCCT